TCCTCACCCTTCTGCCCCCAACCCTCACCTCCTTGTACCCCCAATATGTTTTTCCCAATAAAAAAAATATTAAAAAAAATAAAACCCAATAAAAGTAAAAAAAAAAAAAAAGAATACTCTGTGAGATCGTTAGAAAAATAAGAATGGTTACGGGGTTGGTGGGGAAAGCAGGAAAAGAATGGATAGACAATGGCCAACTTAAAGGAACAGGTGAAGGAAGATCTAAAATGAATGGACAACCAGAGATTAAGCATATCGCAATTTACAATCTGGAAAAGAACATGAAACTTGATTGAGGCGGGAGGGGAGACAAAGAGAGACTGAAGGTAAGGCCTACAGATAGATGGAACTATTGTGGAGGGCTGACACGGACAGAATGGGAGGGAGAGGACACAGACTAGTGGGAAGATAGGCAAAGTAGAGAGACAGAAAGGGAGGAAACTGAAGTTTTGATAAAATATTGTAAATAATGACATTATGTCACTAATCTGTGGACCTCAGGCCTGTTTTTAATTGTTTTGGGCCAAACATTCTTCTAGGTTGTATAGACCTGGTGTGTTCACTTGCCATACAGAGGTAACTTGTGGTTGCTGTGAAGCTGAACACTGTGATACGCCAAAAGCGCTAATGGTGGCTCATGGTGGACAGTGTTTGGTGGAGCTCCCCACTTAAAACAACCTAGGAAGCAGGAGTGGTATCCACTTCCATAAATAGCCTGCCTCTGGAAACCCTATGAATCTGGAGAAACAATGAAAGTCATGTAAGTGTTGAGGACTTTCATTCGATGGCACTTAACAATAACAATAAAACATGTTATAAAAGGAAATGAGTAAGACTTAGGAATGAAAACCAATTTTAAAAAGGGTGTGGGATGACAGACAAAATAAAAAATAAATGGTTATTTCCAAGATCAGAAAAAAAAGTACAGAACTTTGCAAAAATCTTTTAACTTTATCATTTTTCCTATTATTGGTCTATTGATCACATTATTGCAGTGTTGTGGTGTATTCTTCTGCTTTAACATTTTATCCTTCTCATGGAAACTGAAGATTTTTATGTAATAATGACAGTGGTTAAACCTTAATATTTGCTGCTTTAAAATTAGTCTTATTCTACTTATTTAGATATATTAAGTTATAATCTATGCAATTTTTCACCTCTTGATTTTTGTTACTTTGTAAAGGCTTAGAAAAAAAAAATTCGATTGAGCCAATCACGATCTAGTTTTGCAAGTAGGTAATTGGCTCTGCCATCCTTCTCTCCACAGATGGTACAAGAAAATTCTGTGCTTCTGTGCTACATTTTAACTGTGACTCCTAAGTGAATGAACTTTAACAAAACCTTTAAATGAGATATAAGAACTGTTGCTGTTACATGTCCTTGAGTTGGAAGTGACTCATACCTGACACTACGTGGGAGTTTTCAGAAGCTGTAAATCACAGGGAAGATGACTGCCCATCTTTCTCCCTCAGAACAGCTAAGTGCCAACAACCCAAAGTGCCTTATTTTAACTATTTATCAGCACTAAAAATTGCTTGGAATTTCCTAAATATTGTCATCAGGAATTTTTATTTTCATATCTATGTTCCCTAGATTTTTATTAAGTCTCTTCGCCATGTTAGGTATCATCGTGTCAGAACGGACCCAATAGCTAACCTTCCAGCACGCTTTCAGAGGTAGAAAATTGCATGGGGTGGGGGGAGGAGGGGAGACACTGTCCATCTTTCTTCAGTGGGTGCAGTTGGTGGATTTGAAATGAGTGCCTTTCTAAGCCACCATAGCTCCCTAAGAGTCCCCTCATTGCTAACAAAGTCTAGCTCTCCTGTGTCTAAGAAGTAATTCCAGAAGATACTTTACCTTAATAATTTGAAACAACTTTGTAAAAAATAACTGGCTTGAGCAAGTCAAAACCATCCCACACTCCATCCATAACCAACACAAAAAGATATGATTTGCACGTCTCATAATCATAGAGAGCTTGGGTGGTGTTAGCCTATAGGGAATTGCACTGCTAACCCAAAGATAGGTTGGAAGGACAAAGAAGGGAAATATCCCAGGAGATTTAAAGATTCCAATACTCCACTCTATGAAGGTCAACTGAGTTAAGGGTCACCTCTAACCATTTTCGCCCTCCTCGCTGCTGCCCCTTGCTACCGGGGGGTTGGGGAGTGAGGGGGTGAAGGGGGGATGGAGTAGGAGGGAAGGTGGGTGTCCCTGCAAGAGCTCTCAACTGCCCAACCTCCACCTTCCTAACCATGCCCCACACATGGCGATGCCTCCTTAGTGCTTGCCTGGCCCCCCAAACCCCCGCTTCTCCCCTACCTCGTCTGTCCGCCTGCAACCTAAGACCACGAGCTCCCTCTATGCGCTCTAACCTACCTGCCTCACCTCGCCTGTTCCATCCCGCCTCCCTTCTCTGCACCAGTCTGCGGGCTCCGCCCCCACGCATACCTGCCTGTCCCAACCCCCACCTTCCCCCAACCTCGTCAGTCTGCCCAACCCCCGCTGCCCCGTGCTCCTCCCCCGAGGTACCTGTCCCCTCCACCGCGAGCCCCCCCCGCTCCCAGCCTTCCTCCACTCTTAAGGCCCTTCTTCCCTTCACCCCGCCTCCTCCCGAGTCCGACCCCTCTAACCCCCGGTTTGAGCCAAGCCCCTACTGCCCCTTGTCCCTTCCCGGTGCTCATCTTCACCCCTTTCTTGCTTTTACCCCCTACTCGCCCCCCACGCCTACCCCACCCGCCCCGGACCCGACCCCCATGGCCGAGCCCGCCAGCTACCCCGTGCCTGTCCTGCGTACGTCCCGAGCCCACGAGAGATGTCCGTATCAACAAGTTACCGCCAGACTAACCCTTAGCCGCTGAATGCAAGTGCGCATGCGCGCCGCTGTAACTCTGTTTTCTGCCTCAGGAATATGGGAAAAGATCCGGAACCGGAAGTGAGTCCCAAATTGAGAGGCGGAAGCCGGCTCCCCTCCAGTCAGCAGGCGACTCCCCAAAGGCTAGGTCGGCGGGCAGTATTTGAGGGCAGGCGTGACAGGCCGCAGGCGCGGCTGCTATCCGATTCCTGTGAGCGAGGCTCGCGGCCGCCCTGGAGAGCCAACGCCATGAAGCTGTACAGCCTTAGCGTACTTTACAAAGGCGAGCCCAAGGCGGTGCTGCTGAAAGCTGCGTACGACGTGTCCTCTTTCAGTTTCTTCCAAAGGTCCAGGTGAGCGGGCGCTGGGCCAACCCCGTGGGAACTCCACCGTGGCCACGGGTCCATCTCAGAGTGTGTCCTCTTTCACTCATAGCACCTTATTCCATCGCAAAATAAGTACTCCCCTAGATCCCAAGACCCACGCCTACAAGTTCTAAGCCTGTAGCTTGGGTGCCAGTAATTAATACTTTAGTCGGCATGCCTTTCGGGCGGGGTATCTGGATAGCCACACTTGCGTGACCCCTGTGCCAACCCAATGATTGAGTGTGACCACCACCGCCGGGACTGAAGCCTCTGATGGATGCAGGGCTCTGCCAATACTGATGGATTCTGCGCAGCAAATTTGCTTTGGACTTGTAGAACTGCAAACTTGAAAATGTGGCACTGTAATTGCCATGAATTGTGTGTTAGAAGTACACTTCCCGTCAGTGTATGAGATTCCATAGGCAAAATAGGTCAGAGCCATTATACAGTCAGTATCTTTAAGTTACCATCTGGTGGAATTTGTCATTGAGTTCCGTTTTCACTGCTTCTCTGAAACTTTTTGATGATTTGCTAATAGGATCTTAAAAGAACTATTGGAACTTTGTGCTTTTTCTTTACTTCGAACTTCTTGATAATTCGTTCTCTTTCTTTACCATGCCCTATCCTATCCTCTTGTTTTTCTTTGGTAGAAGTTTTGGTGTCACTTTGGCTAACTGAGTTCCCCCACCCCCCACCCCATGCCTTTAGTATTAAAAATTCTCAAAGATTTAGTCGTAGGACTTTTCCTTTCCTAGTTTGGGCTACTCACAGTGGTAGCTTCAGATGGCTAACACACTGTTGACGTCCTTTAAAGTACCATGTGCCATCTGAAAGCATTGTTTTCCTGTAAGTCCTGTAAGACCTACCTTGGTGGTTCCAGCCTTTCCATAGCTCACAATTACTGCAACTCTTCCTTTGTCTAGTCAGAGCCCTACCCTAAACTCTGTCTTCTTGGGGACTATGTCTCTAAGGTATTACTTTGATTTTACCTCTCTTTCAGATTAACATTACCAAGTAATACTGTATCCTAGGCATTGTGCTAAGTGCTTTATATTCGGTCCTCATAACAAATCACTACTTTGTTGTAGCTTGCCCCATGTTAAATAAGGTGAATCCTAACCCAGGCCTGGACAGTTTCTTACAAAAACATGCATCTTCTCAATTCTGCATGGCCTCATCATGAATCCTCAGGGAGTTTTCAGACTTGGTGGACTCCAAATCTGTTGATCCTTAACTGCCTTTTAGGTTAACTTCCTAGCCAGAAGCTCCTTGTGACCTATGTGTTTCTCTAGCTGAAACCTCATTTGTGATTTTTTCCTTTCTACGTGGATGTCTTTATTGGGTCACCAGAGGCCCTTTCCCACTCTCTTGTCTTGGGTAAACCATTTCCCACCATTCCTCCCAGGATGCTCCAGGCCACTCCTGCATAGGTTTGCACAGAGCCAGGACTTACTGGCATTGTGAGTGACATTCCAGTGTTCATCATATTGTCATAGCTATAATTGTCTGTACATTTACTTAAAAAATTTGTTGCCACTGATTTTCCAGTGCAGCTTTTATTTGTTTTGCATCTTGGTAGTTAGCAGAGCATTGAGTGTAGGAGTTGTATCCTTCTCTGTTGTATCTCGCATAATGCTCTGAATAGAACATCAGATTTTAAAACAAACAAACCCCAAACTCATTCCTGTGGAGTTGGAACCAAATCATAGCCGACAGAGTCTGTAAATCACATGGAAGAAAATATTCATCTTTCTCCTTCAGAGCAGCTTCTGGATTCAAACCACTTGCCTTTGGGTTAACAACACACTTTACCCACTAGGCCACCCAAAAATCTGCAAGGATCTGTACAAACAAATGTAGTTTGAGTAATGGTAAATACCTGTGTTTAAATACATTTACAAGGCTAATTTTTATTCTTGGGATGGCTGGGAGGGAAAAGAATGAAAAGGATCCAATGTCTCCTTAATATGTAAACCCAGAAGTCACCTTCCATTATGTTAGTGATAAGGTGATAGAAAGAAGGTAATATGTGCTCTGTTTCTTAGTGTTCAGGAATTCATGACCTTTACAAGTCAGCTGATTGTGGAACGTTCAGTGAAAGGCAGCAGAGCATCTGTCAAAGAACAAGGTAAGGAGCAGCCATCTTTTGAAACTTGGCTGGCTAGGGCCACCATGCTATGAGCCACATGTGGTTTGGTTCTCAGCATGGGCTGTTGCCTTGTGAAGGAGAGGGCTACTTCCTGGGAAAATAGGAGCCCGCTCTAGCTTGTTTTCAGTCCCCATTCTCTTCCTACTGCTACTTGTACATATTTCTGTGCCCACTATTAAAGTCTGGGCTTCCTGGGTGAAACTGCCCAGAGCTTGGGCTTGCTGAGATGAGATCTGATTATCTTGAATCAGTAAATACCCTTTACGTTGTATTCCTTCCTTCCCCTTCACCATTAAAAGTGCCTCAGAAAAGCACTTCCAACTAGAGTTGCCAGGGTAACACTGCATCCTCAAAAGCTCCTTAGATTTTTCTGTGTCAATCTAAAAATCTGGTCCTGTTTTCCCCATCATAACTCAGGGCTCCTAGAAAAATATTTTGGTGCTTATTTCAGAAAATATGTGTTGTATGGACAAGATTAGGCGGTGTACTTGAATTTTATCAAGTAAAGATCATTTCATACAGGGTTGCACTGGCCTTGAGTCAGTAATACTTTATCAAGTTACTGTATTATTAATACAGATACCAACCAATATGAGGCAAGGCAGTATTGAAAATATGTATTCCATGAGGGAAACATGCTCTTTTTACATTATAAAAATGAAATTGAACCATGGATATTTAAATATTCTCTAAGTATTCTAATTGCTAATCTTAGACTATGTCTTCCTAATTTCTCTTTCTTTAGACACTGAACTCAGCATCCCATTTTCTGTGGAGTGTATCTATTTGTCTGAGATCTCCTATTTATAGGGTCACTATGAGTTGTACTCAGCAGTGCATAGCAGTATGTTAAAATCTTGTTTTGGAATGTAACCAAGGTCTAGAGAATGTTGGTGATAATCTTTTAATCTCTCCTTTCTCTCTGTTTGACCCTGTTCTAATATCTGCCCTTTACTGATTTAAGAAGTCAAAATCTCTTCCTTTGCTCTTTTGTTAGCTCCTTGTTCAGCACTGGAATCTTTTGGATCAGATTCTAAGGACAAGAAGGTTCTTAGTAAGTCGTAATGCTTGTTTGGAGATTTATGAAATGAATCCTACAAAGTAAAAAAAAAATTTACAGTTTTGTGAACTGAATATTTTGCAGAAGACTTTGTCCAAAAAGTACCTTTTGATCATATGATTTGAACATGTAATTCGTGTTTCCTTTATCAGCAGTGGCTAATATGGCTTTGGCTTTGTCAGTCTGTCTGGTCTTTTGGAGCAGGCTGAACAGGGTTGCTATAGTATAAAAACCTGAGGCTCTGGAAGCAGATTTCCTTGTTTGACACTTAGTAAGGGCTTTTTACAAATAAGAAGTTGTTTGTTTATCCAGTTGCTTTGGATTTTGGGTGTGGAACAGAGGATGGCCTCTGAGGGCTGCAGTCCCCTAGGGTGCAGTCAGGCATCACTGCAAGAATGTACTTGGAGAGCTGTCCTGGGTTTATTTTCTAAAGCAGCCCCATTAGATCTTGGCTTTGTATTTGCAGGTCTGAGCATTTACTGTTCCTAAACCAGCATAAAGGAACCTGGTGGCTTAGTGCATTACGTGTGAAGCTGGCCAGGTTGAATCCACCAGCAGTCTTTTCCCATTAAGCCTTGCAAGTAAATGATGGATGGTTACCAAAAATTGGAATCAACTTGACAGCATTGATTTGGTTTTTCAGTTTAAAAAAAAAAACCCGTGGCCTGACCAACAGCAGCAGTCTGGTGAGGGTGCTGTTGTGTGTATTCTATGTGCCATGCTTTGGAGCCACATCTCTGAACCCTAGTCTGAGCTCTTGAACTTCAGAATAGTTAGAGTCAGTCCAAAAGGCAAGAGCCCCCACTTGGAATGCTTGTACTAATATTTGATGGTTTGAAAACGTGTAAACCCCTCATATCACCTCCCTTGCTATTTAGAGTACCTGTGTCATGTCTACATCCGAAATGACAGCCTCGCAGGTGTGGCCATTGCCGACAGTGAATATCCTTCCCGAGTGGCTTTTACTTTGTTGGAGAAGGTGAGTTTATGTTTGTCTGATTTGAATGTGGACTCTCTGGGTTGAACTTGAGTTGTGGTGTCAGAGTGACTGCAGTGCCTGAGTCAGAAATGAAATACATCCATGTATTTTGTGGATGTTGTGTTCAAAATCACATTACCAGATTGTCTTCTTGCCTTAAACCAAGAGGCAATTGCATATTCTTTCCTCTTTCTTCACTGTGGTGCTTATTTCTGTCCCTTCCTTTAGAATGGAGAACCAGAAAATCCTTCCTGTGCCCTGTCTCTCCCTTTCTCACCCTCTCATCATCCCTGCTTCCATGCTCCGGTTCTGTGCCCCACACAGTTTCGGTCTCCACTGCCTGCCTTCAGTTGTCTTCTGGATCATATCAGCCTTCACGAACGGACCGGCATATCTGAAGGCATATCTGCCTTCTGCCAGTCTGAGCTTGCACAGACCAGGGTCCTTCTTTTCTGGTTCTCCTTTTCCTGACCCCCTCAACTCTTGTTTTCTCCATTGTTCTTCCCCACAATTAAAACAGCTGACTTCCCCAGTGTCATTTGCCACTACAGAGCTCAACTCTAATCACTTTTCATTTTTTTTTGTGTAGTGCACACAAGATACACTTTGAAAAACATGAAGTTCAGTGTTTATTTAAATTTCCAAGAATCTTAATTGCCTTCTTGAAGAGTTGCTTTGGAAAACTAGAAGATGAGTGCCCATTTTTACATAGATATTTATAGCCTGATAAACAAAGATTAGGAATGTGTAGGTTGAAATTGAAATCATTTTATCATCTGAATAAGGTCCCTCCGAGAACATTTTATGTTTTAATGATGAAAACTTTTTTGAAAAGGGTATTTTAGCCTATCTTTCTCCCTTGCTATAGATCTCTTCCAAAGAGTTTGGGTGAGCTCAATGTGAACTTGGTGGTGATGGCTCTTTACCTTACAGGTACTCGATGAGTTCTCCAAGCAGGTGGACAGGATAGACTGGCCAGTGGGATCTCCTGCCACAATCAAATACACAGCCTTGGATGGTCACCTTAGTAAATACCAGGTAGTATTTAAAGAAGCATGGTGTAAAGGAGTGTGTGCACTGCAGTTGGTGTTAACTGATGTGTCAGCAGAGTCCTTGCTCTGGTTACTTCCTAACAGCTTTTGTCCCTGTGTTCTTTCTTGAACTTACTGTTTGAAAAAATGTGGAAACTCTGCATTCAGACTTGGGATCCTGCAGTTCCCTGATGTATTTACACAGGCGTGGTCTTAACAGTGTAGTGTGCCAGTGCTCCTTCATTAGAGCTTTGTCTCCACCAAGCTAGACTACTGTAGTCCTGATTTGTTATTTTTGGTTCCTTTATAGAATCCCCGGGAAGCTGACCCCATGACCAAAGTGCAGGCTGAACTAGATGAGACCAAAATCATTCTGGTAAGTGAGAAGGCTTTAGAGTAAATTTGAAAACTTGAGGCATAAGGAACTTGCCACAGAGCAGGCTTGCAGAGTTGAGATTTATAAGTAATTAAGGTGCTTTCCTGAAGTTGACTGCCTATCTCTCCATGCACTGTAGTCCTCAACCCAGATTTACTCAACTAGCCTTCGGTTGCCTCCTCTTTCCCTTTCCCCCTATCTTGGTAAATGATATCTATTTTACATTTGGGCCAGGCTCCAAACATTTAATTCTCAATACTGATTTTAGGTTGGGTCACAGAAAAGAGTGTAGTGGGCTCTGTGGGGATGGCTGAGTCTGACTTCTTCTAATTTAATAGAGGGAAACTGTCCCGGTCAACAGTGTACATGGTACAAGACTAATTCCTATGTCAGGCCTGGTCTCCCACACTCTTGCATGTACTTCTGTTAATTCCAACACCAAGCTTACTGCTAATACTGGGTCTAATACCTGTTGCAATAGCTATACAGACCATACAGGACCTTATTCACAGTTACAGGGATTATTAGGGACATTAACAGGCCATAATTCAGATTAGCAGCAGGTTAGACAGTCTCTCAGCCTCACAGCTTACAGTAGTAATACAAAGATTCCTGAGTTTTTCCAGTTATGGTTTCTTCCCTTAGTTCTGTACTAAGCTTGCCTCTGATTGATATCAGTTCTCTGCTGAGGCTCCTGCTGCTGGTCCAGTCTAGTTGGCACAGGAATCTTTGTTTCCGAAGTACACATTCTGCTGCTTGCTGGTGTTGAAATTCCTAATATCTGCTGCTGAGATTGCTCACTTTAAACCTTGTGTGATGGCAACACTAGCTAATCCTGTTATGGATAGACTAACACATTCTATGATTCTACCCATCCACGTTACAAAGTCAAAATCAATGGCTAGAAAAGCTATTTTGAACAATAAGTGCTTGACACTTCAGTCACAAATCGGAGATATCTGCAGAGACCAGACAGGTGTTTTACCTGAGCGTGGAGTCAGGTTGAAGGCAAGCAAGCTGAATGTGTCTGGACGGATAGGGACTGTTGTGCTCCTGATGACACCAAGTCCAGGGACACCTGGCATGCTGGTTTTAGAAAGATGGATCCAGCATTTTGACCTAAAATCTCCTGCTTTGTAACTGCTGCTGCTTTGGTTTCTTTTTTTTTAAGTTCTGTGCTTACATTTGGCACATGGCAGTCCACTATTTACCCTGGGTTAGGCTCTTAAGGTTTGTCTGCTTAACCTCTCATCATTGCCTTCTAACTGCTCCTCTTACATCTCTCCCCAGCTACCTCCAGTCTGTGTGTTGGAGAATAGCCTATTTGCTTAATCTTGCTCCAAAGATGGTGCAGAGTAAGGCCTCAAACTGCTTCAGCACTGCTCTGGCAAGCATGGTAGAAATGCACAGGATCACTCCAGACCCCAGCGTGCTGGAGGCTTACAGAAAAGTAACTTTTAAAATTATCTGTTTGTGAGGGACAGAACTGTTTAAAAATGATAAATGATTGGATATTATGGTCATGACAAGAGTCTAGAATGAAGGCTGCATAGTGGAGTGGACTCAGGGGGGAGAGAAAGATTTTATACCAATGAAAGAATTTTTTCTTAATGCTTTTCAAAGAGAAGAGTGAACTGGAGGGGGAAGAATGGGCAGGGAGAAAAATGCAACAATGAATGAATGGAAATCCAAAGTCTCTGTAAGCATTCATTTAAATTAATAATAAAAAAACTTAAAAAAATTTATACTCTAAAAAAAAAATTGTTTGTCTCTGGAGTTGAGAACAGCTCCAGTGGGTTTTCAAGAAACTTGTATGTGATTTAACAAAGAAAGAGATTGCTGGTCTTTCTAGAGGAAAACTTTCTGTGGCTCTAGGGGAAGAGCCTTCTTTCCTTTGACATGTATTTTGGTATCAATCTCCTGTAGGGATCTGGTTCCTTAATAGTAAGGAATTGGGCTCCCAAAGCAAAGGTATGGCGTTTCAAATCCAGTAACTTCTCTGTAGGAGAAAGATGAGCAGTCTCCTCCTGAACAGTTTACTACCTTTGAAAACTTGCTGGAGGATCAGCCGTGGGTTGGTTCTGACTTGATGGTGCTCAGCAACATTTAGTCTTCTTCTGGATTAGGAGACTTTTCCAGGCAGGAACCCTGATCTACTTCTGGGTCTTCTTTCTTTGAAGTACTGAGACCTCTCTCTGCTTGTTTTTCTCCTTTAATCTCCTAAAGGGTAAAAAGTGATAAAAGCCACATCCTAGGGAAACACCCCTTACATGAGATCAGGGCTGTGGCCTCAGTCTGGGTGATAGGTTCCACCTAATCCCCTAACAGCTGATTGGTCATAGATGATCACATTAGAGAAGATGACATCATTATCTAACTTAAAAATTATATCATTATACTTCAACATAAAAATTCTACAAGCTAGACAAATATGCATTGCAGGCATAACGTAACATAACATAACAGGCATAACATTCTGTGACAGGTTTAGAAGCAGGAGTGGCATCCACTTCCTAAACAACATGCCTCCAGAAACTATGAACTTTGATAAATGTTGATAATTGTAGAGGCCTTTTGTTCATAGGGTCGCTATGAGTCGTCCTCCACTTGAAGGCAGTCAGCAACAACAGACCAATAAACAGCATGATGCTTAAAGAAAATATTTTATGTCAAGGATTTAATTTAACTTGAATTTGTAATCAACACCTCTGGAAGCTGTTCTTAGGTGCATCTAAGTGAACTACAACTCATAGCAACCCTTGCTAGTCTTCCTCTCTCTCACTTATGCGCTGCTTATCCCATCCTTCCCTCTAAGAAACACTCTGGTTGCTCCTAGATAGCTTTGTTCTTTTTACAGCCCATGGTACATTCAGCACTCTTTGCTAACACCACAATTAAAAGGTATCAGTTATTCAGTGTTTCTTATTCCTTGGCTAATGCTGCATGGAAGCAGAGATCAAGTAATCAGACTACATACTGAAAAGGGATAATCTCTTTGCAAGGACCTCTATGTGAAGATGGGAGTTGGACAGTGAATAAGGAAGAACAAAGAATAATTGATGTCATTTAATTGTGATGTTGACCAAGAATATGAAATTACACTATGGACTGCCAAAAACCCCCAAATTATCCAAGAATGAGTGCATCTAATATAATATCTAGGAAAAAAAGGATGATTATGTCTTAAGTACTTTGGGTATTTCACCTGATGGTATGCATAGGAATCAGATCGATTACATCTGTGGAAAAAACCGCTGGAGAAGCTCAATTATCAGCTGTGAAAACTAGGCCAGGAGCTGATTGTGGAACAGACAACCAACTACTCATATGCAAGTTCAAGCTGAAGCTGAGGAAAATTAAACCGAATCCACAGGA